TTAGGTGCCATCTTAGGCAACCTGGATTAATGATTACTTTCATCTATGTTGCATTTTTATGTGCTGTATGAACAAGTGGAAGAAAAGAATTTTTTTCCTCTTGTCTGTACTGAGCTTGATAATAAAATGAAATCGAAAAGAGGCTCAAAGTATGGAGTTTTTAGAAGATTCACAGCCAGAACTATTTTTTGAGATCTATCTCCATGCAAACTACCTAACTAGAGCTGTATAATAAATTACATGTAGGTTTTACTCAAGCAAATTCCCCAATTTAGAACAATGCCTTGTATGTCTGGAGCAAGTTGTAAATATGCTATACATCCACTGAGTCCTCCTTATGCTATTCATGATTTCATGTTTCTATCACTCAGAAGTGAATTTTAGTGCTCTGTAGACAGAAGGTCTCCAAGAATTGGTTAGATAGAGCCTCATTTTGAAATTTTCTCCAAATTGATCTACTGCTAAACCTTAATTCTGACCTGCTCTCTCACTTTAAGACCTCCTGTAAGCAGCTGTATTCTGTGCTCTTTTGAGAGATTACTGATCACCTTGTCCATGGCACTTGTAATATGTTACACCCTCTTGGGATTAAAGCACATAAGTTGACTTCATGTAGGCCACAAGCAGGATATAATGGAAAAGAAGACTTTTATGAATATATTCAGCTGGGTAAAATCTCTGGCTTTTCAAATCTCATATAGGATTCAACTATTTTAAGGTAGTAGTAGACTCTAATAGAGTGGAAATAACACAGGTTTTGTGATACGTTGGAATAGTGATGCTGCATATCATGGTTAAAAGAAGGCATCCTCAGACAACTGGCTATACATAGCTCAGTCCAAAGGCGTTTAAAGTAGCTCTAAAGAGCTGCTGTGCCATGCTTGAAACAGAAGTCCTGACATTTTCCTTAGGCGAGTGCTATGGGAGTAATAAAAACAACTTTATTTATTTATTCTTATAATTTTTGTGATCTTTTTTAGAGTTCCCCTCTATAGGGAAAGCTTTTCCTTTGTTTCTTTCATTAAATCATACCTCTGGGAGTTAGGGTCACAAAGATTTTACTCCTGGTCTCCCCATAATTTTTTTCTGTGAGTTGAAGTAGGTTAATATGGTTCCAATTCCTAACGTGTAACATCTGGGCAGTAGTAGTTCGTGATGTCTTTGAGTCCTTGATCTGATGACTCTATTAGTGTGGTAAGATGCTGCAATATGGTGGCAAGTGCTTTACAAATGCTATACGAATTTCGTGTATGTATATGTGTCTGTATAGGTAGCATTTCTCCATCCAGATCTGTACTTTTTAGTTGCAATGTTTTTCTACTGCAACCACTGTAAGAAGTATTATGAAGATGTATAGAGGTGGGTACTGCTGGTTTTATGGCACATTTGCAATTGGGTTAGTGAGTGATACATTCCTAGGGACTGTGGATCTCCTGCTCCATCCTAATGGTGGAAGGATATGTGCAGACAGCTGAAATTCTGGAAGGCATTGCTCGGTGTGCATCTCATCTCTGCCACTTCTTCCACTTCCAAATTACAGGCCTTCTTGAGGCATGCTTTAAAACTCCAACACAACTCCATTTTTTATTTGTTTTAATAAACACTCCAATATTTTCTGGCAAACCTCAGCTGTCATGTACTAGATGTCAAGGTGATAAAGATTTCTAAAATCTTCAGTAAAAGCCTCAAATTATTTATTTTTGCAAAATGGAACTCCAGTTTGGCTGTATCCTTTCACAGCCATACTTTTAGCCCTTTTGTCTAGGGCAAGTGTAAGTATACTTGTAGTATACTTATAGCCTTTTAAGTACGAATGGCATTTTGCAGCCTTTTGATATCCTTTTGCCTATACATGTGTGAATAATCGACCATTCTGTGGAAGTAATTGCACATGCAAATAGGTACCCATCCAATGTTACGTATTTGTAAAAAAAAAAAAAATCATGATTCAAAATGAGAATAATTTTATCTTAAATATGAAAGAATTATTTTAAGTGTTTTCACAGGAAATAATCCTTTTATGCATATGTTTGCAGGAAATGAATGAAGCTTTTCAAAACTTAGTGCTGTTTGTTAACTTACAGGAATTGCTGCATTTCTGTATTGCAGCCGATTATTTTCTAGCAGAAGCAGAACTATCTTATACTTGCAACTTGAAAATGTAGGTCATTGTGTTGCTAAATGTAGGTCAGAATGAAGGGGAAGGAGGCAAACTCCTCCACGTGGATCTTTAAGCTTATCCCTGTTTTGAAAGCAAAGAGGCTTACCTACCTGTTCAAGCAAGAGAGGCTTTTCCTTTTACTAAAATTAACACAGGTATTCTTGCCTCTGGCTTCTTGGCTTAGCTAGAAGCACTGTGTGCTTCCACACTTCAGAGCTGTGTTCACGGGAGACCTTCTGACTCCTGCTTCTTTAGCTGCCAGCTGCTTATATCATTGCTGAGGTGATGCTTTCTTTCCTATGGGCAAGGAGAGGGGGGAGGAGAGGCACATCCATCACTAGCATCTGCTTAAAGAAGGACTTTGTCCTTCCAAAGGTGCTTTGCCTTTCTCTCAGCAAAGAGCTATCTCATACACCTGAAGTTTCAGCTGGTATCAACATTGTAATGGAAGCAGGGGAAAGAACAGTGACCCCTCATAAAAGATTCAGTGACTCCTTCAAAGTGCCCTTTCAGTAATAACCGTAGAGAAGTGAACGACATTTGACTGAGGGTACGGAAAACTCAGACGTTGAAGGATTTTGCTACAATTGACAAGTATTTTAAAAATTCACTCAGGCTAAAAGTTTGCTGTGAAAGGATATAGTTGTTTTGGGGATGGTGGTGGTAATATGAGATGTGAAGTATTATAAGTGGTATTAAATTGGCCATGCCTTCATAACTATTAGAAAACACTTTTATTACTTGAGTATACACCAGTCACTGCAAACTGAAACATTCTTTATATCATACACTAAAATATTTAAACAGTTATTATATTTATTGCAAAGTCTGTCATTCTAGCATATTTCAATGCTCAAAAGCATTGAAATGCTCAAAAGGGAGATGGAAAATCCTGTACAATTCTTGGTGTATGTTTCACTGAAGAATGGGTAATCGTGTGTGAATATTTTATTTTAACCCTTAGCAAGTCTGAGTAAAATACCAGATCTACAAAAAGCCTATCAACCTAAGCTGTAATGGACTGGACAAATAATAATATTGTTTTAGTGCTTTTGGTGTGTGTATAGGAATCAGAGCTCTAATTTTTTTTACCTTTGAGGTCTATGCAATAGACAAGCTATATGCAGAATTTTGGCCACATGCTGGATCTACATGCAGATTCTGCATTCATAAATTTTCATCATCCATAACAATGACTGGGTAATTCAGAGTAGGAATTGGATGGACAGAGGAATTATATATTTAAGGATTACCATTTTTTTTCTCTCAAACTTCTATTAAATTCCTTCCTTCCTTCCTTCCTTCCTTCCTTCCTTCCCTCCCTCCCATCCATCCATCCATCCATCCATCCATCCATCCATCCATCCATCCATCCATCCATGCATAAAGAAGAAACAATTGGTTCTTCTTGTTGTCAATGGTCTAAAGGATACATACGGATAATAAGCTTCATGGAATTCAATTTACCTGTCCATATATATCTGAAGGATGTTCTTGTATGTCTTAAGTTTACTCAAACTATGAAAGTATCTACAGCTTATAGTATTAAATCAGATTTCTGTCATAGTAATTCATAATGCTATGTGTTAAAGGGAAAGCTAACCCTGTTTTTCACCTGTGGATAAACAAGTTTTTTTTTTTTTTTGGGGTGGGGGGTGGTAAGAAAACTCATACAAATGTAATTGGACTGCAAATGCCTTTGATTCGTCCTCCCATAACTTTGAGAACTTAACTCAAGTTTCTGAATACCAATTTGTTTTTCCAAGCTCTCTTTAAGGCAATAGAGAAAGGAAGATGCCTGGAGGAGACTCTACAAGCCACTTTAGTTCTGAACTGCCATCTGCATTGGCCATGTGGCTTCAGATAGGTCCTTAATGTTACGTGGGAAATTGCTCTAAAGTGACAGTGAGTTTCAGGAGAGAATGTCATTGAAAGGATGGTTTTGCATCAATGACTCTTAAGTAAGACAAAGATCAGTATAAGATTTATGACAGGAGTTTATAAAGTCATGAATAGTATGGAATAGGAAAATAAAGACTGCTTCCTGTCTCTTCTCATATGAAAACTAGAGGGCATCAGATGATCTTTATACCACACACAAACTCTGGAGCGTGCTGCCACAAGGACGTTAGAGATACTGCAATGTTATCTAAGTACAATTAGAAAAATCCCTTGGTATCTATTAAACACAAATTTATCACTAGTGGCTCAAAAGTTCTTAAGGAGGACTGGAGACACAACTAGAAATCATACTATTTTATGACCCTAACCACATACTCTTCCCCAGCATGTGCTAAGGATTGGTGTTTCTTAGGGAGAGATCCTGGGAAAACTTGAGAGCCTTCCCTGAGAAAAGAGGCTAAATAAAAAGGAACTGTGAAGAAATAAACTGACCTTAGAAGGCAACAAATCACAAGAGTAAGGGGATCTTGTCCCCACTGAGAGACAGGATACTGGTCAAGATGAACCTTGACAGTCTGATGTTCATGTAAATGCCCATATGTTGGAAGTTTCAATTAGATTGTATTTAACTTTTAAAATCTTGACAATATGATGGGTATGTGCAGATATATATGCATATATACATGCCCGTGTATACATTTATATATAATGTACAGGTAGACATGACCATTAGCCAGAGTGAAGTTTGAGAAATATCTAGTTCCAATGCTGAGGATAAGAAATCTATCACTAAAAATCTGATTCTTTTCTTTATTCTGTGATATTGTGGTAAATTTAAAAATGAAATATTTTATAGAGGTCTGAAAATGATAATACATATTTAAATATTACTTCAGAAAGGCATTGTTCTAAGAAGGCAAATATTTTTGTTTTACAGGTCTCTGGCCATCTGAAGAAGTGCTGGCTTACTACTGCCTAAAGCACAATGAAATGTTCAGGTACAGAGTTAAACATAAAAAGATATTTTCTAATCTGTTAGTTTTATTGTATCTGCATGCTAAAGATTGCTATGATTTAAGTCTTCAGATTAAATTTAAAATGTTCAAGGTGAAAGCATGTTGTTCTTAACAAAGAATTCTGAGCTGCCTTTGGGTACTAATATTGCACAGCAAGCTTTCTGCTATATGTCAAAGACTTTTGATTTCCACTCAAGGCGTTTTATTTCACTTTGATTTTTTGGGAAACAAAAGTGAAGCTCCAATCGATCAGTACTGATTGTGAAGGTCAGGAAAAATAAAAGATGTTCTTTAAACTGACATCCGTTGCAAAAGCAAGCAAAATATTACCTGATAAAGCACATAATTATTGTATATATTGATGGAGGAATTTGCACCTGTATTTAAGTTCTGGGAAGCATTTTTGAGGCATCCTGCTCTTTTCCATATTTTTGTGGGTTTTTTTCCCACTTTTTCTAAAATTGTAGAATATAGATTTCCAGCATCCAATAGGAATGCTTAAAAATAAAACCCAGCCTGCATCCTTTCTCCCCTCTTGGGTATAGAGAGCCCTGCACTTGGAAATCCTTGAAGTTTCATTGTCCTGGAGCGTGAAAGAGTCTAAAGAAGAACCATAACAACGGTGCATTTGCAGGCATAAATTACATTTGGGGCAAGGATACTAGGCTAACACCTAGTAAACCAGCTTGGAGTACACAAAATCCCTCCTTCCATCTACACATTGTGTTGTGAGAATACGGAAGAACAATCTGCTCCAATCTGTACAGCCCGGCCCTTCTACCAAATATTAGGAGCCTGTTATACAAAGCCTCAGTCTAACTGAGGCTGAAGCCAACCCAAAAGAGGAGGCAGCTAACACAGCTCTTCTTGCAGCTGCTGCTGCTTTGCTGAGTTTAGGTGGGTACTGTGCAGTGCCACCTTGCTGCTATAGCAGTGTCTCTGTAGCACTCTGCCCCCCAGCCACATGTAGTGCCTCCTACTTGCCCCTTGTCCCTGTATGTGTATGTATGCATGTGTGCCCATGTATCATGTATACACAGATTTGGTTGAAAATGCCTTAAAACACCCTCATTGGGTATTTAATTGTATTTATTGTAATAAGCATGACTCCTGTAAGGGGTTAAGTGCATTATAAATGTTACATTTATAATCCTCTGTTTGTTTGTACATATACATATTTATACAAAAAAAATACATATTTATAAAAAAACCACGTTATTAGAAAAATCAGAACCTGTGTAAGAAAAAACTATAAGCATTAGAATTGAACCACACACTGCAAATTCTCCTCATTTTGTTTTCAGTTCTTGATGGGTTTTAGGCTGGGTTTGCTCCTCCAAACTCTGTCCATCTTGTTTTCTGTTCCACTGAAAAAGACAAAAAGACTTTTTGCAAATAAAATTTGCCAAGTCTAAGAAAGACAAATCTACAACATTCAGAGCCTGATCATTAATATATGGTCAGGCAGCCCAGTCCAGGGGCCTCAGTAAACATACTCTCAGCATATATATTCTGATATTGACATGGCATCCTAGATATTATTCCTGAATATAAGCAGAGAGCTTGTAGGGAAGTACTATTTCTACATAAAAATAGATTTTGAAATGTCGGTGCCTGTTGGTGCCCCCCAAAACCCATTCAGCTGAAATTCCCCTTGCTGTTAAAATGGGGCCAGCCCTAACGGTTGTCGTGGGCTTAGCTGTAAAGCAGCCTGTTCGGGTTGTTCCTGTAGCACTGTGCACTGAGTGCAGCCCCATGCTTCCCTCCTCCCTCCGGGCCGGCCACGGCTCTGGAGATCCGACTTCCCCCGCGCGCGGGCAGCTCCGTCCTGCTGCACTTCACATGCACGTCTTGGTGGCTGTGCAGCATGGAAAAAGTTAAAAGTAACCTGCTAAACCATGTATTTGAGCCTAAGCTGCGGCTCGGTTTAGGCTCCTGACGCTAACTTTTTGTGGTTCTCCGTGGCTTAGCTGAACGCTTTTCCCGTCGTCATTCATAACAGAATTATTTGTAGGTCACTCGCGGTTTTAAGTGCTAATTGAAGGATCAAATTTCTTCATGTGTAATTGTTTTGAGCTGCGCAGCTTGTTTTAAAACTTGTCTTTTTTAATATAAAAAGGCTTTTAGGCATAACTATATAGAGAGATATATAAATAATATTATTTTCTCCATTTACTTCCCTAACTGTTTTTGAAAGAATGAATGTGGATTAACATTGTTATCCTTTCCTAACAATTATCTTTCGCTACTCTAGCTAGTTTAGTTCTAAAAGACAGAGCCATTGACAAGGGAAAAAAGGGAACCTTCTCAGATTTTTCAGCTCAGCGGTGGTAATGTTGCACTGAACACTAATGAGGGAACCCCCACTGATTTGCCTGCTTTGTGACTTTTCTATTTCATAATTATTTTTAAAACGCAAAACGACATGAGGTAGCCTAGTCATGTCTCTACAACTTCCTGGTAGCTCAGTTCTCACTGCAGATGGCAATTTGTTCTTGTAACATATATGTCTCTCTGACCATTTTCATCTAATTTGTATGGGTTCTACCATTTCCTTTCTCTCTTTCAGGGACCTTGCTGTGTGTGAGCTAGGGGGTGGCATGACATGCTTGGCTGGGCTCATGGTAGGTCTTTTCTCAATTCCAATCCCATTCAGAGGAAGAAACAAAAGGAAAAATGTTCCAGTGCCTCCAACTGCTGGGTCAGAGAACTGTCAACAGCCTCAGCTGCGGTCAAGCTGCAGAGTCTTGAGAGACCTTCTAGATTGACTTGCTTTCGTATCATATTGATTTTATGGTTGCCTCGATGAGCAGAAACATTTTACCTCAGTGTAGTCAATATCTCTTGTTGTGACATTCCAGGCCACGTACGGTCTGTCTTTCATTGCCATGGCTGAAGCATTTTTTTTTTTCAGATTATAGTCCCATTTGCTAAGATACAGGAATAGCCTGGCGAATCACAGTTGGAGCACCATGATATAGCTGCTAATGTTTTGCCTGCATTATTACACCAACAAACATGATCCAGAGCTCTCGGTAATTAGATTCTTTTGAATTAGATTGGCCATTCAGGAGAGTCGTTCACCATTCTCTGGGTTCTGAGTCATGTATTCAGGAGATATTATGTAGCAGTGCAGTGCATTAGACAAGTTTTTATGTCTCTACAAATAAAAGCATATTGTTACACTGATTGGCATTTGACAAACCTGTCGCTCTTATACAATGTGTCGAGGTTACAGCCCAATGTGCGAGCATGTCAAAGCTCACAAAAAAATTACCCTTACAAAGCCATCTGCCTGCAATGCAAAGTTATATGAAGGGCATCAGGCAGTCAGACAGAAGCAAGCTGAAAGGCAGAGTGACAGCCTTGTATGATGGCTCTACTAGATAAACAGAAGCCCGCAAATGAAAGCCTCTCAGAATACCATCATCCGCTGTCACAATGCAATTACGGAACAGAATGATAGCAAGATAGAGGCTCCCGCAAATGGAATGATAAAAGTATTGACTGATTTGATTGAATGATTAAAATAATGCAGACATAAAATGAAAAAAGATTGAAGATTGTTACAGAGAAATAGGTGAGGAAGCATGATACTGAAGGCTTGTCACTCCTGTCTTCACTTCCACACAGACAAGCATATTTGCTCATTGTTTGCTGTGCTCTTTTTTTCAGGTTGCTATTTCTGCAGATGTCAAAGAAGTTCTGTTAACTGATGGAAATGAAAAGGCCATCAAAAGTATCCTTATTCAGATAGAAAACTGGTTTGTTGTGCTCATTCCTTTTTACTGGCTGTGTAACAATCGATATAAAGACAGGCAGCATGGGGTATATTAAGAAAAAGTCCCCACATAAGTAATTAAAAGGTAGATGGTGAATATCTTAAACAAAGCTGCAATTTCCCATGTAATAAATTCCACATTTTCTTCCTAAATTAAAAATGTGCTTGTTGATACGGAGCGAGTACAGCAGTAAATATTTGTCTTATGGTTCAGTGCTGAAAGATTCCTTGTGTCCATGCTGCATGTTACAGGGGGTATAGCAGGGAATCAAATCATTAGTTTCTCTTTGACATATATTCTTTTTTTCAGGAGAAACTAGATTTTTTTTTGCTTGCAGATACTAGCATCTTAAAATGTACACAGTATTTGTATATTGTCATAGCTTTTCTAGTGTATTTTAAAATGCGTAGTTTCATTATTGCTGCTAAGTTGTAACTGCCTGCAAATTATCCATTTACCCTGCTTAATCAATTATCATTTTAGCGTTATTTCTCTTGATGTAACGTTGTAAAGCTACTCTGTCTCTTAAAGGCAGTATTTTATTATATTTCTTATATGATTATATTAGAATAAATTGCTATTATGCTATACTAATATGAACACATAGTTCAGAAAATTGAACTGTACTTTGGCTAAGCGAGAGAATGAGTGAGCATAATTTGCGGCTGCATTAAATATCAGCACAGAATAAGAACAGATATATATAGTGAATGCTAATAGCCCTTAGAAATGGAGAGGAAAAAATGGAAGATATCTGTTTGCTTTTGTTCCTTGGTAATCTTGCCATTTGCATTTTAAGGCAGAGTAGTGTTCAGGTTTTGGCCACGGCATCATCAAAATTATTTACGTTTAAGATTTGTGTGTATTTGGAAGCTAGCATAATGAGTACTTAATGAAAAAATAAGTTAAACTATGTAGCAGATTGGAAAAAAAATACCTGTTTTGTAACAGTTAGAACAGGAAACGTGTCAGTGCATTTTAGCTATTAGCTTTAAAAAGACGTTCTCGGAGGTAACTCAGCCAACTATAATTGCTTACAACACTTAAACGATTTCGTGGAGAAAAACAGCCAATCACAACTCAAATCATTTTAAACTTGAAAGAAACCTCATAAAAGTCTCCTTATTCTTGAAAAAGCAGGTTCTTAATTGTGTTCCAAGGAATTTTATTTTGCTAAATTCTGGTTGAGTCTGTTCATGGGCTGAGGAGGAGGTATTCATTATTCTGTGTAGTTTTATACAGCATCTCCTCTTCCAATTTTTCTCACATGCTTTTAGGAAGATAAAAAATGTGGGGGAGGAAAAGCGTTTCCAAACTAGCAACAAAACAAACTGATGTTTGACAAAAGCAAAAGCAAGTTTCTGTGGGTCATTTTACCCACAGAAAGCTTCAGGTGAGCTTAGTAATCATCAGGTCAGCAAATATCTTGCATAGGAGATTCCATAAACATACCTGAACTTTTATCAAATTTATCTATCTTGCACAGATAGGAGAATTGGTGAGTGCTAAAAATCAATCTTTGTTCAACCTTTGGAACTAAACAACTTAAAGCGCTATTATTCCTGAAAAAGATACTCCTAATAATCTAATTAATACACCTTAGTTTTTACAATATCTTTAGAAATCTCTTTTATTTCTAAAAATCTTACAAGAAGTCTTCATCTGTATTCACTCAGTGAATCCCTTTTAGAGAAGTGATTGGTGGAAGGCTCTAACAAGAATTTATTTTTCTTTTTTTAACATTTGGTGCTCTGAAGGCTCAGCATTCAAAGTGCTTTTATTGTGCTGGATTTTACAATGGGCTTAATATTAGCAGGGTGCCAAAGTGCAGCAGACTAAGAACTTTACAGTGTAGGTGGAATGTATTCCTAAAAGAGCACATAATAAAATTTATGTTGCATTTTATGTTTTATGGACTTCACTAGTAATTTTATGATCTGTCATACGGTGATTTTCCTTTGCATTCTTTACTGTAGTCACTAACTGCTTAGAAGTTTACACTAAATTTAGATCTGTTTCAGCCACACCAGGCTCTCAGAAATCAGGAAGATTTTGTTAGTTTAGTTGGAGATAGTATCTCATCCCAAATGCCACAGGCTACAAGTGATATATTCCTACTAACTTTTATTATTGTTGATGGTATTTTTTAATTGTTTAGCATGCCAAATTAAATTAATGTGGGGTAAAATACTGTTTTGTTGTCTAAATTCTGCTCTTCGGGAATAGTTAATGCCTAGCATTATTCTTTTTTATGTAGGTATTATAGATTAAAATAATCTTGTTTAAAAATTACTGTTTACATCCTCCCTTTAAATTTTTTTAGGAAGCTTAAATTACATGCCAGTCATACTATAATATCCAAAAATTACTTTCCAAAAAGTAAAAGTGGTTGTCAACAAAAAGGAAAAAAAATCACTGTCAGAAGCCAGGAAATCACCAAGCAAGCCTGCTAATTATTCTTAATGGGCAAGATGAGCACATTAAGAAACAAATGAATACATCAGTGAAATGTAATTGAAAATCGACCTGGCAATAGTGCATTGCATCTGAGAATCTGCCTTTGTATCATCATCATCATCATAATTATTGTTGTTTTTGTTGTTGTTATCACTATTCAGTGAGCGTAACTAACAGCTATGCTTTGTGAAGTCTTAAGCTTTTGATGATTTGATTTTTCTTTTAATTTTTGACGGTATTCATTATTCTCCTTTTCATACTGCCACATTCAGTATTTACTATGTATGTTGTGAGCAGCTATATAGAGATATGTTATTGAAATATGGCAAGTTAAAAATAATGAATATGTTAATTTCAAATCATTATTGCAATTTTAACCACTTTAAATGTATAGCTTTGTTATATATTAATCAATGATCTTATACAGGAGACTTTTTATGGAGACTCTTAACTGGATGTTATGATGTAAGCTACTAATCCATTTAAAAGTCTTCATTCTAACTCACTCTTTTTACTTATCATAGGTAGATTTTAATTGTTTTACAGACCATCCCTGTTGCAAATTATGACATACAGTTTTTCTTGCTTTTTCATCCCCTTTCAAAACTTTCCTATTGAGTTTGTGTGCTTGATCTAAATTCTGTCATGATTAGATAATATTAAAGATAATATTAAAAATAGACTGTGCATTTCAGGTGAATATTAGAGATACATAGAAAGGCAAAGTCATCAGATTTGATTCCCTTTGAAATTTTGGGTGATATGTATTCAGATACAAATTTTCCAGTTAGGTCATTTCTATGATAGATCCTACCTAGAATACCAAATTCTATTTCTCCAAAATGCTGGAAGGGTCTAAACTCAGCTCATCATGTCCAAATCCAAGGAACAGTTTCATTTGTTTTGTAAAAATTTTCTTCTGGTTCAGAGATACTACGGACCTTCTGCCTTAGCTCTGTTTCACACTATGCAGTAGAGATTTGAACTACTATCAGATAGCATCAATAATACAAAACATCGTTGCTGTGCACTGTAATGGCCATTAAAATATAGTGTATGGATCTTTCAACAGTCCTAAGAAATTTAGGTTAGAAAGGTCATGTTGAGCCTGAATCTCTGAAGACATGGACTTATAAATTATTTAGAAAAGGTAGTATTAACAGGTTTACTACAATTATTAATAGTTTTTCTCGGTTATACAATTGAGGTATTGTAACTAATTTATCAACAGCGTTGCTTCTGCCTCTACTAAAAAATAGCATACTTTGTTCATGGAGTTATTTATGCCTTCTTCTTGCTTCAGAAGTATGTGCCATTACTTATTGCCTTCTGTTGCATATTGTGGCAACAATTTAGAAGTATGTCTAAAGAACAGAGATTGGTTTCAACCAGTTTTATCTCATTGAATTTGTAATTTTTGGCTTAATGAAAAACAAATTGTCTTTTCTTTCACATTGTTTGGATAGAGTTTTTCCTAAAAGAATTTCTTAAATTGTCAACAGTGTTAGGAAGGCTAATTATATGATTTCATCAAAGCAAATAAAAAGATATGTTAGTCATTGTTTAAATGAGCCTAACATTACACTATTCAATTTTCTCATAAGAGCATCTGTAAAGAAGAATTTAAGTTTTGGGAGGCCAACCTGCTGTTAATTATCAGCAAATTTCCTGTACCTTAAAAAAGAAGGAGCAGTCATTGACTTACTTTTCAAAACTGTGCCTGTATGACTCAGTGCTACTAGTGTAACACATTTGTGTCTGAATCTCTTTCTGATTTTAGAACTGTGATCAGAATGAGGATTTAATTTAGAGGAAACATCCCTTTTCTGTTGTCGATATTATAGTAATAGTTGTAGTGGTAGTACAGGCTGCAGCATCCACACTTATCGATATAATTATTCATATACTTGAGAGTGAATTTTTGTGGATACTTATGGATTCAAGTTTTTTGTCATTCAGGTCTCACATAGAGACTCGCTACACCTTGTCTTTCCAAAGGCTTCTCAGTAACCACAAATGATTGGTTGTAGAGGTTAACTTTTCAGACATAGGTAACTTCATTTGCAATCCTTGTTTTGGGTCTGCCTGACCCAAATTTAGGGCCTGATCTTTAAAATTGGAAGAGGCTGAGACACGGGACAAAGGCAATGCTGTTGCAGTGCCTAATGGGACTGTGTTTTTTGCTTTCTACACATCTGTTATGGCAGAGAGGAGCTCCAAACCATTCTCAAGAAAACAAGCAAACTAAAAACTCTCCTGGCTACAGGTGAAAGTGCTCCTGTTGTGTGTTGGATTGTATTCTGACAGTCAGAGCCGAGAGCAAAAGTGCATGTGCCATGGCCAGGGCAGAACTCAAAACCCTGCAGCCTCTGAAACCTCCGCTCTGGGATCTAGGGGCACAGTCAAAAGCAGCGCAAACCAAACTGCTCATTAACTGACCATCCTGACAAATTCCTGTTCTGCATCCTTCTAATTCATATGTTTGTAAAAGATAGTTGCCTTTAAATGTACGTAAGATATGGGAAACCTTTTGCAGCTCCCTCCCCCTTCCTTAAATGGAAGCATTAATGAAAGAACAGTCAATAGAGGTAGGCAACAATAGCAGGTTGCTGGCTAGATTTATGGCTGATGTGCCAGAGTAGCACTGTAGAATCTCTGCTTCTGAAAAGACTGACTATTAGTACAGATTAAAGCAAACCAAACAGATAAAAGACACTCTGAAGGTATTAACAATGGAAAAAATATTCTTGATTATTTTTCATTACTGCTGTAATTTTTTAGATAATCCTTAACAAGTATGCTACAGATGTAAGTGACATCATCACAAGAAACCAAAATGCAGGAGTATTTAAAGCGCAAAAAGTATCGAGTTGGTAAGATTCTGCTAAAGTAGCTTATCAATTCTTGCATGTAATTGTTTATTTAATGTAAGTGGGAAATGTATGCAGAAGTGTGACCTAAATGATTGATAAGGGCACAGATATATACACCGTAAGAAGATGTATTGCAGTGTAAGGAATGGAAAAGAGAAATTTGAAAGTATTAAAATATGTTTTAATTAAATCTATTATTTTTTTAACCTAGCAAGTACAGTGTGATTAATTTGGTGACATAATGGTCCTTTTTCTTTTCTTTCTTTTTTTTTTTTTAATATACAGCATGTCTTTTCATGCTGCTGCTCATTGCATAGTTGAAATTTGGCTTCTTGAGAAGCAGCATTGCCCGTTGGGCTGAACAGGATGCGTGGAATCATTACACCTACATCACTGATGGAGTTCATTTTTAAGTAAGCCTAAGGTAGCAGCAAATGCCTTTACCCCTGAGGCAGAAGTTGTCAAGCTCTTTGACTGAGTATTTTGGCCATCCCGTTCTCTTGATTGGCATCGTGTGACATTGCTACAAAGGCAAATGGGCAATGTGGAAGCTAGACACCAAGTGCTAGGCCCTTTATTACTGTCGTTGACCACATTCTGGAGCTCAGGGTGTACCCTGTATTTTTTCTCCATCTCTATCTGCTTTGTTGTCTCAGTTTGGAAGCAGCTGAGAATCTGATGCATGTTCATCTTTGGTAGTAATTAAAAAGTAAATTATTTTATAGTACTTCGTATTTATGGTGTGGGGTTATGAGTTAGAACATGCTTAGAGGTAGCTACCTAAGAGCAAATAGTGCCCTTCGATTGTGTGTCCAAATCTTTTCCTTTTTTTTCTTTAATGCTTCTTATTCCAGAATAAGGGCTCTCGGTCCTTCTCAAAGTGACAATAGTAAAGCTGAAAAAAGGCCAGCTGTTATAGCAGAATAATTGTATTAATATAGAGGGTAAAACTCATACGGTTTTAGTTCATTCAAATCATTTATCCTATGGTTATGCAACCATTCTGTGTAATAGTCAAGTTCTGTAAATGAGCACTTGAAGTTAGAAAAATATCTACCTTCATTATGTTATGTATGCATACATCTTAGAAGTGTAGATATATTTCAGCACATCCCAATAATTGCTCGGCAAGTAGACAAAGGCCATACAGGCCCGTGGGATAGTCTTTTACTTTCTGAGTGCTGAACACTTGTGAGCAACCTCAAATCCTCAGCTGGGCTAAGGGGAGGCTACCCTGTGCAGTGCATCTAGGCGGAATCTCAGCTTGTTTAGCTTTTCAGTAGCTTTTCCAGGATGTACTTTGCACAGGATTTCAGACTTCATCCCTTGTCAAGGTTTCAAACCTGGTCTTTTAGATATCAATCAAAAGCACATTTTCCACCCTATCCTCATTTACATTTATCTAATGCTTAAGGTCATTTGTGATCATTTGAGTGTATTTCAGCATATGGAATCAGTGAATAATAGATTTCAGCTTCATGCTGTGAAGAAAGATTGTGTTTTTACAAGACATGATGTTGTTTACTGGGTGTTAATAATCACTAATTAATAAACATATCTAGACTTCATAAAATGTTGCATTTTAGGGAATAAAAATGTCAAGTGTTTAACTTATCAAGTGCAATAACATTTGGGGATTTATTTGCATAAATAAAATAATTTACAAACTGAAGTACTATCTCAAAACATAGGGCACTTTCCTTGTAATAAATATTTAATTTGATTTTTACTGCTACATTTTAAGTCATTCACAGATTTGTTCTGAGCATTCTGTATAATTTAAAAATATATATATATTCAAATGACTAATTCAAAAATAATTACTGCACAGGGAGTCCAATTTTGAGGTTTGAGACTCAGTCTGTCATGTTCCAGACATTTATCTCTAGATTTGGAAAATATACCAAAACATGTATGGAACAAAAAGAAGCAGTCCTGTATCAGCCAAGAGAAGTTAGATTAGGACAACCTGCCATACATTTATTTATTTAGATTTATACAAAATGTAATAAATGAGCACATATCTAACTCTCTGCTGACTCTTGATTATTGTTTAAAAGTACAGCAGTGTAAGCCAAACTGGCAGTTTGTCATATTATGTGTTACAATAACAGATATTTAGTAAACAGTTTACTTCAGCAGCGACTGTGCAGTTGTATGATTATTTTTAGCTTCTAGTGGTATATACAGAATTTCTTGCTTATTGGAAATATGTATAGTAATGACCCCGTTACTAATAATGACTTGCTATAGTAAGGCAAATGCTGTGTATGGGTTTGATGATGTTAGTATTTTCCCCATTCACAAATTACCCGTGAATCACTTTAAATTTGCCTCATAACTTGGCACATAAATTACACTGACAGCAATCTTTATACCATCAGCTGTTGACGTGCATCCTGTTATTGTTTTGAGCATATCCACTAATGATTAAATTATCGATAACAAAGTCTGCTCTTTTCCTCTTTTTTTATGTGGAAAACTCCCTGAAATGGGACTTGCGGTAATAGAATTTGAAGGATTGTTTTATTATAAGTCTCATAATGGAAAAGCTTTGTCAAAGAGAAAGATTTGTAATATTTTCTAAAGGATAACAGACTGTTTGTCATATCTACCAGGGACTTAGTTCTTCCATCAGCTTCCCTGAATCATTTAAGAACAAAATTTGTGTGCGTATTACTGTTATGGGGCCTATGAGTTTTAGACATAGAGAAGTCTACTGTTTTGCTAACAGCTACCCCAGGAGGTTTACATTTTAAACAGCGGTGAGAGTGAGTACATACTACAAACAGACAGCAAGAGAAATGCTTATTGCACAAGGCACCGTTTGATTTGTTTAGTAATAGTTGTCGCTTACTCTTTGTCTGTATTATAGTCAGCAATAGAATTTGTATTAAAAATGTATAATGAAGTGACCAAAATGACAATTCTCACTCCTTAAAGATTAACATACAGGTTGTCATCTAAAAAAAAAAGGCGTGTCTTCCTAAAGACCAAAGGACATTTAGTGACAAATCACTAAGCTACATAGTCCTGATTCCACTTCTTACATTAATTGTTTTTTTCTCCATAGCTGCCAACGTGTGAGTATTTTATCTTTCTGCAGTGATCTTCAAATCTACCAGCTTTCTAAGTTTCCTCACTCTAGCTGATAGTATAACAACTTCCATTGTCTTTAATAAAAGAAATCCTACTTGTTTCCACTCCACTTCTCTGTACCTTTTCCAATTTCAACATACTCCTTTCGAGATGAGGGAGAGCAGGATTCCATACAATATTCAAAGCGAGTGCAAACGATAGATACATGCAGTGGAATAATTATGTTTTCCATTTCTCTTCTAAAAATGCCTCACAGTGATTTGCTTTTTTGACTGCCGTTGAACCGATGTTTTCATGGCACTGTCTGTCATAACATCAAGAGCTTTCTCCTGAGTGGTGATGATCGGTTCAGAGACCTTCCTTTTATACATGAAGCCAGAATTATTTTTCCCCTCTTGCAATTTGCATTTATCAATGCTGAATTTTCTCTGTAATTTCATTTTACAATAACTCAGTTTCATCCCCCTGCACTTCTTCAGCCTGCTTTTTTCCTCGTTATCTTGAATAACCTTATAGCAGGAGCAAACTTTGCCACCTCAGTGCTCATCACTTGTAAACATGTTAAATAGAACAGGTCCCTTGGGGACTCTACTGATTATCTCCCTCCATTGTGAGAACTGACCGTTTACTCCTACCCTGTTTCCTATCTTTTGTTCAATTATTTATCCAGGCCAGGAGTCTTATCCCGTGGCTGTCCACTCTCCTTAAATGCTGTTGGTGAGGGATTTTGCCAAAAGCCTTTTGGCATCCGAGGTAGTCAGTGTTCCCCACATCACCCTTATGTAAACACTTGTTGACCCCTTTGAAGAACTCTGAAAGGTTGATAAAGCAGGACTTCCTTTTACAGAAGACATCATCCTTCAAAAACAGGTTTTGTGGTGAAATTATCTTCAATTTCTTCTACTGTGAACACTGATGCAAAGAATTCATTTAACCTCTCTGAAATGGTGTTATCCTCTGAGAGTGCTCATTCTGTACCCTGATTATCAGCTGGCCCTGCAGACTCTCCTGAAGTGCTGGCAGGAAGAGCTGGTACAAAAGAAGGAGTACTCTCATTTTTGACCATGTAATATTATTTTTATATTTAATTTAATATAATTTTAACTAAGTTTTTGATCCTTTCTACATTTGGGTGCTACTTCTTTTGGAGGAATGTTTCTAACAACCTACATTACTGTTTGGCCATACCAGCTGACTTTTACCAATTCCTAAGTTTTTCTTATTAGCACGTTATTTCACCCACTTGCGTTGATTTAATGAAATGGCAACCTGTTTAAAATGACACTGTAGTTGTGCCTTTCTTTATAATACATGAAGAGGCAAAAGGAAAAAGATTTTTTAAGAAATTTCTGCACTTTTAGAAGAACAGGAAAAGTGAGGTGCTATCTAAAACAATATCCTAGAATCATTTTTGATAATTCTTGGCTGTGTTTTGTCAAATTTTTGGCTATATGTTTTGATGGTCTTCTCTTTGCTTTAAAAATATGCTGTTGGTAAAACTATTCCTCTTGTACTAGGAGTGGACAGGACAGAAAGACTAGGTAGAGACCATTGATATTATAAAGGTTATGTCTTTGTTTCCCAGGTTTTTAAGGAAAATGTCTGCGAGATGTTAGAATTTAAGCTCTTTTATTATTATTATTATTCCTATACTTATATACATATCCATCTTTTTTAGCCAATCCTTAAGTTTTGTTTCTTGATTGGTGTTATTAACGTTGTACCCGTGTTCACCCTTCCTCTTCTGTATTTGTTGCGCGTTGATAGGCAGCCATCAAGCACATTTTATACACTTTCAGCAAGCTGCCTCCTTCACAGGTCCTGTGCAATTGCCAGCCACAGATATAAGAAAGTTGGAACAAACTCAAAATTTTGACAAAGCAATTTACATAGTGATATCT